ACACACACACACACACACACACACACACACACACACACACTTTTTAAATAATTATTTTATTTACCTTTATTTATTAGGGAGGATTTATTTCAGATTAGGGATGCTCAACCTGTACCATGGAAGAAAAGAAGTCAGACAAATAAATACCTCCACAGCTTGGAATGTTTGGTTTAGGGTCACCTATGTTGATAAAAGCCATCTCATAAATACAACAGTTTGCAATTAAAAATAGGCTGCTAGGCCGGCAGGTGACATGGTGGTTAAAGGTGCTAGCCTCCCACATAACTGGCCATGGTTCAAGTCCTGGCCCTGGTAGCTTCCTTTCTCACTTTCCTTCTCTCTCCCTGATCAAACTGGAAAATAATAATAATAAAGTTAATTTTTAAAAATTCTTAAAAAAAAAACAGGCTGCTAAAGCACAACATGGAAATATATTTCTCCATCTGGTACTTTTAGCTAGCAGTTAAATTGCTAGATTTTGCCTCCAGCATTCATAATCTGAATGACCTAAAGTACATTGATTCTCTCATGCCTCAAAATGAGAATGAAGTGCCGCTCTTTTAGTTGTTGGAACACTTATGTGAGAGTAGCACACCACCACGCCAAAGATTAAAATGTGTTAACAGGACATCTTTCTCCTGTCTGTGAGGTGGACAGAGATTAAGGCAATTATAAATGATTAACTGAACTTCTACCATCTAATAACCACAAATATTAATATTTGAAGTCTCACTACACGCTGGATCTGAGATCCACTGATGGGCATATGCAAGATCTCTATAATATCAGAAACAGTAAAACAAATTTCCGGTATTTGAGCATGTGTGTAGTGGGGGTTGTTGTGGGGGTGGTGATCTTGGAGAGGGGTGGGGGGATCAATAGCTCCCACAGGATTTTCCAAGGGTTTGTAACTTAAAACAGCTTAACCAGGCACAGAGTACTTAGCAGCACGTAGCCACGTGCTGTCCTAGGGACAGGCGACAGTGTTTAACACCGACACTGTCAGCTCCTGCTCTTAAGGATCTCAATCACTGCGGCTATGATCTCCACCATCGAAACGAGGTGGCTGAAGCCAGCGAAGACATGTCCTACCCAAGGTCAGAGGGCCAGGGAGCAGACGGGGACCGAACCCACGTCTCCCGACTCCCACCACGGGGACCAGAGATCACACGAATCCCGGGGACAGCTAGAGGCCGGAGCGAGGCCGTTGAGACTGGGCCAAAGTCCGGCCCCGCCCCAGCCCCAGACGAAGGCCACCCCTCCCTCCTCGGGCTGAAGGGACAGAGGCGCCACACTCGGCCGCTCCCACCCGCCGCCCGGTTACCGGTCACCGGTCAGCAGTCACCAGCACAGACTCTTCCGGCTCCGGCAACCCGCCGGCTCAGCGCGTTCAGGTCACGCCGCCGGAAGCTGCCTCGCCGCCCCGGAAGCGGAAGTCGGGTCACAAGTCGCGGCAGCTTCGCGCTGACGGCTGACGCGAGGACGCGGAGGTGTGTGTGGAGAGCAGCGTGTGTACTGAACTCTGTGTAGTTGGGACAGAATTCTCTGCCAGCTGACCCGGTGGGCGCGGGCCACGTCCCCTGTCATAGTAAGAGCTCACGTCCGTTGAGTGCGGAGCGCTGGGGAAGCGCTTGACTCGCCTCACAGCTGTGAAGTGGCGGCGGCCCTTTCCCGTTTGAAAGCCGGAAAAACTATTTCCGAGAGGTTGAATGTCCTTTCCAAAATGTCACCCAAGGCACTTTAAAACCAGAGCTGAAACTTGGACCTAGATAGACTGACTCAAGAATTCTTGCCCTTGGGAACCAGCAGTTAGTGTAGTGGCTGTGTCACTGGACTCCCACGTAGTAGACTATGGTTCGTGTCCCGGACCCGGTGGCTTAAAACTCACGCCGGGCGTGTGTGCGTGCGTGCCCAAGATCCTGAGAGGAGAATGGAAGAGAAGGGATTGCGGCGTGACCATCCCCCCTGGGGGGTGATTTCTCGCTTTCTGTCTCTCTGTGTCTCTCTGTCTGGTGAGCGCATGCGCCCTATAGGGAAAACCTCTCCAAAAAAAAAAAAAGAAAGAAAAAGAATTCTTGCCCTTAACGCCACAGCCAGTTGCCCAAACTACTTCTTAATTTCCATATTGCCTTCACAATGTGTGCCCAGATGCACTGTTGTTTAGTATCTTTTCTTTTAATAACATTTTAAGTTAACATTTTAGAATTATTTAACTTTATTTTTTATATTTAATTCACCAGAGAGAGAGAGTGAGAGCGTGAGAAAGCAAGCCTGCAGGTCTGGGATTCCAGCAGCATGACTGGCAGCCTAGCGCCTTAACCACCATGCCACCTGCTGGCCAAAGTTTTTTTTGTTTTGTTTTGTTTTAGAATTATTTATTGGGCTCAGCAGATGATGTAATGGTTATGTTGCTGGACTCCCACGTAGTCCACTGTGGTTCCAGTCCTAGACCCAGGGGCTTAAAACTCATGCCAGGCCAGTGTGCATACATGCCCAAGATCCTGAGAGGAGAATGGAGGAGGAGGGATTGTGATGTGGCCATCCCTCCCTCCTGGGGGAGGAGGGGTGTTGATTTCTCACTTTCAGATTCTGTCTCTGGCGAGCGCATGCACCCTATAGCAAAAATCTCTGTCTTTAAAAAATTATGTATTTAATTCCATTTGTTATTGTTATTTTTTAAGTTGACCACAGAGAGAGAGAGAAAGGGAAAGTGAGAAAGCAAGCTGCCAGGTCCAGCCTCAAACGAGGGTCGGCTATATGGGAATCCAGAGCCCTTAATCACCACGGCAGACAGCCCCTAACTTTTTATGAAAGATTTTTTGCTATAGAAGTTAACTTTTTTATTTTTTTTTTAGATAGAAATGTTTGTAATAGAGCATGTGCCCTCACAGAGGGAGACAGAGAGAGAGAAAGTGAGAAACCACCTGCCAGAAGGTATGGCCATGCCGGAATCCCTTCATTCTCCTTTCAGGATTTTGGGCACACAAGCACAGGTGCCTGGCCTGAGTTTCATGGCGCCCTGGGTCTTGTGGGAAGCACACCCAGCCCAGTGAAAGTCCCAGATTCGTTAGTTTGAAACTCATGCTGGACACCTGTAGGTACACATTCAAGATCCTAGGAAGAGAATGGAGAAGAGAGGATTGCAGCATGGCATCTACCCTGGGGGATGATTTTTCACTTTTCCTCTGACCACTCACAGAGCATATGCACCCCGTGGTAAAAACCTTGAAAAAGAAATGGGGAACCAGCAGATGGCATAATGGTTACATCACTGGACTCCCACACAGTTGACTGCTGTTCAAGTCCCCAGCTTAAAACACATGGTAATTCCGTTTTTAAGAAAAGGCTAAACTGGGACCAACAGATTGCATAATGGCGACGTCGCTGGACTTCCACGTAGTTGACTGCAGTTTGAGACCCGGACTTGGTGGCTTAAACTCATGCTGGGTGCACATGCATGTGTGCCCAAAATCCTGAGAGGAGACTGGAGAAGAAGGGATTGCCACATGGGGGATGATTTCTCTCTGTCTGTCTGTCTCTCTGGTGAGTGTATGCACCCTATAGCAAAAATCTCTCTTAAAAAAAAACGATAGACCTCTAAAGAGACAGAAATGGTCAATGAGCATGTGAAAAGATATTCAACATGATTAGTCATCAGGGACATGCAAATTAACCACATTGATATTTTTGAGTCCTAGTGAGGAACACTTAGACACTGCTGGTGGGGATGCAAAATGGTATAGCCACATTGGGAAACAGTTCAGTCTTTTTTTTTTTTTTTTCCTGGAGAGGTTTCTGCTGTAGGGCACATGCACTCATCAGACAGAGACAGACAGACAGAAAGTGAGAAATCACCCCCTGGGGGGATGGTCACACCACGATCCCTTCTGCATTCTCCTCTTGGGATTTTGGGCATGCTCGCATGTGCACCCGGCCTGAGTTTAAACCACCAAGTCCAGTCTCAAACTGCAGTCGACTACATGGGAGTCTGGTGACGTAGCCATTGTGCCATCTGCTGGTCCCAGTTTAGCCTTTTCTTAAAAACAGAATTATCATGTGCCCCAGTAATTCCACTATTAAATATGTACCTAAAAGAACTGAAAACAGGCATTCATCCAAAAACTTATAAACAAGTGTACTTAGCAGCATTATTAGTATTACCCAAAGTGGAAACAGCTCAAAAGTTCATCAGCTGATGGACAAACAGCAGAACTATATCTATATAATGGAATAGTATTCAGTCATGAAAAGGAATGAAGTATGGATACATGGTACAGCTGGCCTCCTAATTATTCGTAGAGAACAACAAAAGCATGCTAAATGAAAGAAGCTACACACAAAATACCACATACATGATTCCATATATATGAGTTGTCCAAACAGATAGAAAGCAGATCAGTGGTTGCTTAGGGCTGGGAGGAATGGTGTCATTGAGGGGTGACAGCTAAAGGATATGGGGTTTCTATTTGGGGTGATGAGCATATTCTGGAGTTAAGTATTAATGATGGTTGCACAACATTGTGAATATATTAAGAAACACTAAAATTATATACTTTAAAATACCGTCAGTGGTGAATTTTATCTTAGTAAAGCAAAGAGACTTTGATTCCATGGGAAATTCATTTGCAGTTTCTTCATCTGCAAAATGATCCTTCTTGGGAGATTTAAATGAACTTAACGTGCCACCAGGCACATAATTAAAATAGATAATGCCTTTAAAATAAATATAATGGGGACCAGCAGGTGACATGGTGGTTAAAGATGCTGGACTCACAAATGGCTGACCATGGTTCAAATCCCGGACCTGGGACTTGCTTTCTCATTTTCCCTTTCTGTCATTCCCTGTCTCTCTCTGGTCAAATTAAAACAATAATAATAATAATAATAACAAATAAAGTTAAATAAAACAATTCTTTAAAATAAATAAATAAATACAATGAAGGGACAAATAGGTATTGTGGTGGTTAAGGTGCTGGGTCCCACATGGTCAACTGGTTTGAGTTCTGGACCTGGGGCTTGCTTTCTTTTCTCACTTTCTCTCTCTCTCTGATAAGTGCATGAACACTGTAGCAAACTAAAAAATAATAATGATAAATAAAATTAAATAAGTCTTTAAAAAATAATACAGTGGGGCCAGCAGGTGATGTGTTGGTTAAGGTGCTGGACACTCCCACATGGTCGATCACAGTTCGAGTCCTGGACCTGTTGTCTTGCTTTCTCACTTTCCTCCTCTCTGTCTTTTTCTGATCAAATTAAAATAAATGAATGAGGGACTAGCAGGTGGAATG